ACCAAGAAAACCACAAGTTGTCTACATTCAACAAACAAAAGAATCATTGGTAGATGAAATAAAACTAAGGATTATGTGTGGGGATATCAACCGCAGGAGACCAAGGACTCTTCTGAGAGGAAATGAAGCTACACTGTGCGATGCACATAGCTTCATGTGCAGACTAAGATCTGCTGAACTAGTGTCTTTAAGATTTGTCAGTTTATTATTATCTTTTCATTTAAAATGTCTTTTTGAGACAAGGTTTCTTTTTTCTTTTTGGTTTTTTGAGTCAGGGTTTCTCTTATAGCCCGGGCTGTTCTGGAACTCACTCTGTAGACCAGGCTGGCCTCGAACTCAGAAATCCACCTGTCTCTGCCTCCAAGTGCTAGGATTAAAAGCGTACGCCACCACTGTCTGGCTTAATTTAAGATTTATTTATTTTATTTTACATGTACAAATGTTTTGCTTGCATGTATGTCTGTGTACCATATGCCCATAGAAATCAGAAGAAGAAACTGGAGTTACAGATGGTTGTGAGTCATCACATGGGTACTGGGAATTGAACTCAGGTCCTCTGCAAGAGCAGTCAGTGCTCTTAACTGGTGAGCCATCTCCCCCAAACCCCAATTTATTTTTTTTATAATGTACATGTACATGATTTTGGAATAATTTAATACTTTAACCTCAAGATACAACTATATTCTTTTTTTTTTTTTTTTGCTACAACTATATTCTAAGACCATTATTTTAAAGGAATGGATCCTTACAAGACCAAAATAACCCATATAGCATAAGGTTGGTTTAGCCTTTTTCTTCTTCTTTCAACAAATGTGCGCCAAAATGTTTCAATAGCAAGGCCGATGCCATGAAAACAAAAGCTGCATTTGCAAGTACCAACCAACATCTAGTACCCGGGGAGGCCAATCAGACGGTGGGTTGGGTGCCATTCTAATTAAATGATCAGGTGACATCACAACACGCTGGGGTGCAGCCTTGCAACTGTCCATTAAGTTTCTTTTTTCTTGATGATCAGAGGTCCCACGTTGTCGCCAGTCTCTTCCTTGTGCTTTATGTGAGCCCCATCACAGAACGGGAACGTTTTAGACCTCCAGCATCGGCAGTACACAGCCTTATCCCCCAGATCCTCCATGTCGAAGGCATGCACCACCTTCGGGTTGTCTTTCTGGATCTGAAGATGCACCATAGCTTTGGTGTGATTCTCTTTCTCGTAGAACTTTTTGTAAGCCAGGTAACCCAGAGCGGCTGTGCCAGCAGCAAAGGTAACAGCCTCGATCCACTCAACTCGCACAGCGGGGTCGGAAATGAGGCCCATGGCTCAGGCAGCGGGAAGGCAGTGGCAGGACCACGCGATCGAGCGCTGGGGACCTTGGAGACCTGGGCAAGACGCCCCAATTTAATTTTTTAAAAAGATTTAATTACTTTTATTTTCTTTTTTCTTTTTTGGTTTTTTGAGACACAGTTTTCTTGGAATAGCCCTGGCTGTCCTGAAACTCATTCGGTAGAACAGGCTGTCCTAGAACTCAGAGAGATCCACCTACCTCTGCCTCCCAAGTGCTGGAATTAAAGGCACATCCCCCACCACTGCCTGGCTACTTTTATTTCCTATATGAGTGTTTTGCATCATACATATATGATGTGTACCATATGCATATGTCTTGTGCCCACAGAGACCAGAGAGGGTGTCAGATACCCTGGAATTGGAGTTGCAGATGGTTTTGAAGCAGTATACGGGTGCTGAGAATCAAACCAGGTCCTCTGAAAGAGCAGCAGATGTTAATACTGAACTATCTCACCAGCCCCATTGTGAACTTGGGCATATGGGGGTCAGAGGACAACGTTCAGAAGTTAGCTCTCTTTTATTGTGGGATCTAGGACTTGAACTCAGGTCTTAGGGTTGTTGGGTTTTTTTTTTTTAATCCAATAAGCCATCTCACCAGGTCTATTTTAAGAGACAGAGTTTCCTTATGTTGCCCAGGCTATTCCTGCTTCATCCTTCCAGGTAGAGACTGCAGGCACATGCCATTGCACACTCTGAAGCCAGAAGGCTATTCTTTTATGTGTACTTGGAGGTGTGTGTTTGGATTGGTACACGTGTGGAGGTCAGAGGTCAATCTCAGGTGCATTCCTCAGGAGCCGTTCAGCTTGGTTTGTTCTGTTGTTTGGTACAGAATTTCTCATTGGCCTGGAGATCATTAGCTAACAAGGTTGTCTGCCAATATCTCTCCTTCTCAGCACCGGGGAATTACAACAAACCGTTGCTGCCACACTTGGCTTTTTTTTTTTTTTTTATCCTCAGGTCTTGATTCTTGTGGTGTAAGTGTTTTACTGACTGAACTGTTTCCCCAACACCAGATATGTCCTTTGCTTTCACTCCTCCTAAATGCTTGATGCTCGTTCCCTTTGTCTCTGAGACACCCACGCTGGCTCAGAGTTCTCTCACATTTCTGCTCCTGGCTAGTCTCTCGCTGTTTCTACCTCATCTTTCCTACCTCCATCCAGTGAAATGTTTTTGGACATGGAAACTGCCCTCCTCTGTCCTGCTCTGTCTACACTCACCACCTCTGTCTCCTCCAAGGCCATGGCCTAAAATGCCACCCCCTGGCTTTGCTGCCCACTCCTCTCCACCTCAGTGCTTCTCTCTCCCGAGCTCCTCACTCATACGCTTAGCAGCCGATCCTGCTTCTCCACAAGACTCACGTGTCCACAGTGAGCATTTGCTTTTCTCCTAATCTTTCATACTTTTTTTTGAAGATTTTTTTTCAAGGCAAGTCTCTTTCTACATAGCTCTGGCTGACCTGAAACTCACTATGTAGTCTTGAACTCACAGAGATCTGCCTGTATTGTGCCACCATGCCCAGCTCAGAATTTTATTTTATTTTATTTTTGTTTTAAGTATGTGAGTGTCTTGCTTGGTATTTGCATGTGCACAACATGTGTGCAGTGCCTACAGGGACCAGAAGAGGGTGGGGGATCCTCTGAAACTAAAGTTACAGAAAGTTATGTGCTGCCTGCCATATGGGTACTGAGAATCAAACCAATTTCCCCTACAAGGACAGCCAGTGTTCTTAACTACTGAGTCATCTCTCCAGCCTCTCTTTCCAGCTTTTACTAGATTGAAAACAATCTAGCTGGATGGTGGTGGTACACACCTTTAATGCCAGTATTCAGGGAAACAAAGGCAGGTGGCTTTCTGTGAATTCAAGGCCAGCCTTGTCTACAAAGTGAGCACCAGGACAGCCAGGGTTGCTACACAGAGAAATCTTGTCTTGAAAAAAAAAAAAAAAACAAAGGAAGAAAAACAGAACAAAGAAGTGAAAAATAAGAACTTTATCTAGTTACATGTGTGTAAATCGTACAGCATCCAACCAAAGATTCTGCCTTCAGAGCTGTCCTTTGCCTGCCCCTTCCTTCCAGTGATGTTTTTCTGACTGCAGACTAGGTCATAGATAAGGGTCCCTTCACTGGCTACATAGCCCTTAAAACAAACAAACTAAAACCAGGGAAGCACAACTCAAGGGATAAGGACTCCCCCAAAGTATTTAGACAGCAATTTCTACAACTGCGCAGAGCTAGCTCCTGATGCTCCTCTTTAATTCACCGATTACCCCAGTTTTACAGGGAATTCAGGCCTATCTGGATCTGGTCCACATGCTCTATACCAGACTATATGGCTATGAGGCCAGCTTTGGTGTACTCTTCAGTCTTTGTCACCATCGTGACCAGCAGCAAGATCTATGGGAAGGGGAAGCAGAGGTTTCTTTCTTCTGGGTGTTTTTAATGGGAGTGTCATCCAACCAGCTGTTCACACTGGAAACTTGGAGGCCATGTTTTACCTACCTGCATCTATGCATCAGTCAGGGCTAGATCTTAGTTCTAGATTCTGGAGTCTAGAATGATGCTTCTGTTTACCCATTGGGTTCAGAACCAGGCATTCAGACACACACCCTAGCCTGGGATAAAGGCCAGAACCTCCTTCGATTCCAGAGTTGTTCTCCCAAAACAACTGTATCTTGCAGAAAACAGTCCTAGTCTTTCCCTGAAAAAAGCTCCATGCTCTTTATGGAACCAAAAGATTCCCATAAGTCTTCTGGAGGCTTGGTTTTAATGACGTCTCTCTATCCACAGACCCCTGCCCCATCCATCACACATATCTCTATTTTCCTTTCGTTTGGTCTCCGTAGCCCCTGTCCCTCGATATTCTTTACATTGGCAGATCCTTTCACCTAAAATGCCCTTCCTCACTGGACTCAAATGGATTGACCCGTGATCAGCCATATCTTTGTAAGAGTCCTATCCCTTAACTGAACTCACTGCCCTCATCCTCCTATATTTTTTTGTCTGCGGATAGATCCAGTCCGTTTCCACTTAGACTGTACCTCTGATTATGGAGTGGCCTCAGGGGAAAGAGCAGTTTTCCTTTTCCATTCCCGCATGCAATCTATTGGTCAATGGTGCAGAGTGAGGATGCAGCCCATAGCAGCGTGATCCCCACTAGAGGGCGGTCCAGCCTACTTTGGCTCAGATTAGGCCGGAGGGATGTTGGAGGGGATTTTGCCATGGCCCTTCCCTTACTCTCTGTCTTAAGGCTCTTGGCTGAGTATTCACTGGGCAGAAGGAATCTTGGTCCCATCATTTCCAGGGATGGTCAAGGCCAGCTTGGACAGACCCCGAGTGGGCCACAATATTGTCAAATCAGAAGATAGGGCACAGTGCCCACATGTGGGCGTCGCATCGGGCTCCAGTACAAGAAACCGCTATTTCACCAGGGGACAAATTGAAACGGTGAGGTCACGGGATGAACGCACGGGGGCGGGATGGGGTTGTGTCCGAACTGCGTTACAGCAGGGTTAACTAAACTTTTTGAGACATGAGCTACACTCTGGACCTGTGCTTCTATAACCGGGCTCCACCAGCAGTGCGGGGCTGGAGGGCGGGGTGGAAAGGGGCAGGACAACTTCAGCCCGCCCCACCTCCATTGGCTAGGGCGCTGGGGGCGGGGCGGGGCGCGGCTGCCAGATGTTGGGGCGGCAGCGGCGGGAGCTACCGAGAGCAAGGAGCCTTGAAGTAAGGCAAGGGTGAGGACGCCACTGGCGGGCCGACCCGGCCCACTCTGAGCGGCTTCCGCGGGTGATCGGCGGGCGAGCCGGACGACCTGGAGAGAGTACGGCACCAGCACCAACATGCACAGCGCTCGGTTTGACAGCTTCCTGAGCCAGCTCCGCTGGGAACTGGTGAGTCTTTGGAGTGGGTGTGGTTGTGAAGATGTGTGTGGGGTGCGTGGCTGCCGCCTGGCTGGAACAACAAACGACAACGGGGTGGACTCCGGGTGCCCATCAGAGTCAGGATGGGGGCAGGGTAGTGCGCTACAGATGGCCCAGATGGCCCGCTTCGGGTTTCTGACGGTTGGGAACTGTTCTGGGCATCAGGTAACAGGCGCCCAGCTGGCTGTGCTGGCGGCGGGGGTTGGGGGAAGGAGAGTTGGGGAAAGAAGTTTCTTCTGGGGACCGACAGGGAGCACCCAGGGCCTAAAAAAGTGCTGTGCTGCTGTGGACATCCCCTACCATGGGCTGGCCTGTACCTCCTTCCTCTACTCTGCCTGCCCGCCCTGGTGGCGCGTGCTGACTTGCCCGGCCCTGCGTGCTGCAGCCTGCCGGACTGCCACCAGCTCTGCGGATGGAAGCCACATGAGCCTCGAGTGCCAGTGCCCCCATGCTTACAGTTCCGCCTTGCTGCCCAGAGGCTTTTCAAGTCCTTCTGAACCCTCCATTCTCGGGGCTGGTTTGGTCAGACACTAAGGGGTCAGAGACTAAGAAATCCCTGTCAAACATTTGCCCTATCTTTCTCTCCAGTTGTGTGCTCGGGACACAGGCTCACCTCCAATGTCTGGCCCACTGCAACCAAAACGCAAAACTGATCAAAATATACAGCCCAAACGCCAGTTCAGGGCCTCCGACGTTTTGGAAGAGGATTCTGTCTGCTGTGTAGAAGAGGAAGAGGTGGAAGGCTTGGTAGCAGAAGATAGGGGTGCACCGTTGGGATGTCCTAGGGAACATGCCCTGGATTGGGACTCTGGCTTCTCAGAGGTGTCAGGCAGTACATGGCGAGAGGAAGAGCTGTCTGTACCCCAGCGCCAAGTACCCCAAGAACGTCCACCTCATAGCCAGCGTTTCTCAGTCAGTGACCTTCCCGTACGCAATAGGGTAGCTGTGACCAACATCCCTCCTGCCCACCGTCCAAGGCCCAAGTCCACCCCGGATGCTTGCCTGGAACATTGGCAGGGATTGGATGCCGAGGACTGGACGGCAGCCCTGCTGAACAGGGGCCGCAGTCGGCAGCCCCTGGTGCTAGGGGATAACTGTTTTGCTGATTTAGTTCACAATTGGATGGAGTTGCCTGAAGCAACCAGTGAGGGGAGTGATGGAGATGTACCCCGTGCCCGGGCTCGACCCCCTCAGTTCTTGCTTGGTCTCTCTGAGCAGCTACGGCGTAGGCTGGCCAGGGCTCGACGGACAGCTATGGCAGGCAAGCGGCTGTCATGCCCACCTCGCCCAGAACCTGACCTGCCTGCGGACATCTCACGATTTGCAGCCCTCATGAGCTCTCGAAGCCGGCAACCTATTATCTACAATGATGTCAGCTACCTCTGACCCTGCCCTCCAGCTAGGGACAATAAAGGCTTTTTTTTTTTCTAAACTGCTGGTTCCATACTCCTGATGCTTCAGGAAGTGATCCCAGCCCTGTGGAGCACAACCAAGACAGGCCAGTCTAGAATCTTCCCTCTCCTTTTCCAGGGTTCCTGTCTTACCTATATCACTCCTGTGTACCTTACCAGTCATTTTTCTACCGTCCAATCCACTTGTGTCTTCCTTCAACAAATTTTTATTGTTGAAGTACCTGTGGGCTGAAGATGCAGGAATTTTATGCAGAGTTCATTATGGCCAAGTGGTGGCGTGGTGGCTACCTCGGCACAGCTCATAATGCAGAGGTGGGAAAGCCGTTTCATCCTCCTCGCCCTCACAGCTCAGCTCCAGCACCAGAACCCTCAGCCCAGGCTTGGGCTTCCAGCCGGTCAGCTGCTGAACCAGTTCTGTCACCCTGGTATGGGAGGGGGGTCAGGGGAGATTTTGTAGTAGGTGAGCCAAGGCCGACAGAGGGCAACCTAGTGTGGACGAGAGGGTGCTGGTGAGCCTCAAGAGCCCCAACCAGGAGCAGGAGCCGCTCAAGGCAGGAAACATCTGAAACTATTTTAGGAGCAGCTGGTGGGGCAGGCAAGAGGCAGGAAGCTGTGTGTCCCTTGAGAGTAGGCTGTGAAGGGAGGTGGGGGCTGGGCAGGGTATGGGGAGCCAAGGAGGCTGGCCAAGCAGACAGCTACTGAAGTCCCCTTCCTCAGGCTCTTAGCTCCACCCCCAGGCCCATTTGTTGGCTCCATTTGGTGGAAGAATGCTTCGAGAAGGTGTGAGGGGGCTAAAACGGGGTTGAGAAAAATGACCTTGTCACCCATGCTCAACTTCCTGGGACATGGTAGAGCTTGGCTACGACCAGCTCACCTGAGGCACAGGTGCTGAGCCCGCTTTTCAAATGGCCATCCTGACGAGTAGAGCAGAGCCTGGTCGTGGAGTAGCATCTCCACCTTCAGTCCATGTTCTTCCTAGAAGATATACATCAGATATTCACTGGACCGGGCTGGGCCGGGCCAGGGACTGAGTGGAGACAGACAGGGCATACCTGGAGACAGGCCAGCAGTGATTCCAGTGTCCTCTCAGGCTGCCCAGCAGGCACCTTCAGGCGGTCCCAACAGGTCCATTTTAGGCGCTGGAACTACAGGTGAGGGAGATTTAGAGATTTCTCACACAAACCTGCAACCCCTGGCCCAGTTAACTAGCAGCATTTCCTAGAGGAGGAGCAGCTCTAGAGGCAGGAAACTGCAGCCAAGGGGTGGGGGGTGGAAGGTGGGATCTGGGCCCAGAGTCTCAGCCCCCTCCCCGCCCATGCTGGGGCCAGCACAGGAAATGGAGCTATGGGGCCCCGTATGGGGAAACAGACGTCCATCGCACAGGCCAGCTGGAGGGGATTGGGGGGGAGGCTGGGGCTGCTTCCTGAGGAAGTTGGAGCTTCGTTGCTGTAGTCTCCGATAAAGCTGCTTGTTCCTCTAAGGGGAGGCTGGGAGCTGGGAGATCCCGCTCATGCTACTCTGCCGCCGTCCTTACATACAGGGCTTCAGACTGCTCATGGGCATGCAGAAACCAAAGGCATGGTAACAACGGAACGCTATTGACTCAGAGGGTCCCTCCTAACAGGGATACAGTCTATAGAAGCCTTTATTCTTGTCCTGTCTTCTTCCCAGGTCAAGAGTTTGGTACCTATAGTTGAGGGCTGATGATGTTGCAGCCGTCCAGAGTCCAGGACAAAAGGGCCCTCCCAACCATCAGAAAACATACTGGGGTCGGGCTGAGACTAGGCTAGAGGCACGATGGGGACTCCTACCCACCCCCATGCTACGGACAAAGGCAGTCTCTGTGCTGGTTAACAGTGGGGCACCTCACAAAAGCATTCTGTGTGCTTGTCCAGAGGGACCCTAAGCTAGCTGGTGACCTCTGTCCTCTCTCCTAGTGAGGGCATTTATTCTGTCCTCTTTCCTGTGCCTCAGGGAAATGCCAACTGGGGCAGAGCCTGGGCACACAGTTGGAGGCATTGCCATCCTGCCTTTATAGGAACAACTTCCCCCTGAAACACACATAAAACCAATGGCACCCACGTATGCACCCACACGCACATATTCACATTGAGGAAGATCCCTGCTCGTCCATCTGGCACACAGATGTGCAAGCTTTATCCCTGCATGTTCACACGCCAGGGATGCACAGACCTTGGTGCACTCATATGTAGTCATACAAACATTCTATCCCATAGGGCTGAGACCCACACTCCTGGTAGCAATCCTGGTGCCCTTTAACTTGGATTGAGGTGAACAGAACAGGGCTCTACAAAAGTGAGCTAGATTCTTTCCAGGGCTGAGTCTATGGTTGCCCAACCCTCCTCCTTCCCACCAGGATATTACAGAGAAGGAGGGGGTCATGGGGGATGTCTGGCTCCACTAATGAGTTAAAGCTGCAGCTCCCCCAGACCCTGGACTGCAGGGGGGTTGGGGAGTATGGCTGATGGCTGTTTCCTGTGTCTGACAGGTCCCAGCCTAGCTTCATAGCAGGAAGGGAGCTGGATGGAGTCTAGAGGACTCCCCCATAGTCTGGGGCCTGGAGAGAATCCACAGCTAGAGAGAAGAGTGTTTGCTTGGGTGGATAGAGGGAAAATTCAGGCCTAACGGCAACAGGGGCATCAGAGGCTCACCGACTGGATGGCTGGGGCAGAAGGCGCTGAGCGTATGAAGTGGTTTTCAGCCAGGTGCAGATAGCTGTGACGAAAGGTACCACGGGGCCGTGGCCCACTTACCACCTTATACAGCTCCAGACCCAATAAGCCTGCCACAACTGATGTACTGGTGGCAATGGCTGGGATAATCCGGCCCACGATTTGCTTGATCTGTCAAGAACAGGGCATTTGATTTGGGCTCAAGGTTCAGGGATAAGATTTGGCTCTCACGTCTAGGCCTGAGCCCCAAAGGGGTAAAGTTACCCGAGCATGGTTAACTGGTAGGATCCCATAGTTCTGGCATCGCAGGTCTGTTGCTGCTACCACAAAGTCCATATGGAAGTTGCCATCATCATCCTGCCAGTCCCAGATCACAGAAGTGTCAACACTGCAGTGGTATCCCTCAGCATGGCCACCTGTATGCCACTAACAGGTCTCTGTACAGTTTTGTGGTTGGGTATCCACCATCTCCCTCCTTTGCCACACAGTGAGGCTGAGATGCAAGGGAAGTGAGTTGCTTCCACAGCCTTGACGGGAGGAAACCCAGGTTCTCAAGCTGCCCTGCTTTCTTACCTCCCCTGAGCCCAGTTCTTTACCCTCTCTTGGGACCCCACCTTCCCAAACAGCACAGGCTTCAGTGGGGGCCCCTTGCTCCAGTTGTCCAGGGTTTCCTTCAGCTCCTTCAACTGTTCCTGGCCTGTCAGGGAGCAGCGCATGGGCTCAGTCCTTAACTCATTTCCTGTACTCTAGAGCCTCGTGTCCGTTCTTGGGCTCTGCCAAACCCGCCATTCGCCACCACTTGATCTAAGCAAGGACTCTCTTGGTTAATAATGACATCTACTTCTTTACAGCCCCATTTTTCCCCTGTGGTTACCCATGTGGCTCTGTCCTCACCCCAGAACATAGCTAGAATCTCCTCAGAATTTTTTTTTAAATCTCTCAAGAGAACTGGGATATGTTTTAGGCAGCAGAGAGAGGACCTGCTGAGGGGCCAGAGGATGGAAATAAAAGAAACAAACAAGCAAGAGGCCCAGAGAAGGGCTGAAGAGATGGCTTAGCAGTTACGAGCACTTGTTGCTCTTGTAAAGGACTCTCGTTTGATTCCCAGTGCTTACATGGTAACCCATAACTGTCAGTAACTCCTGTTTCAGGGGATCGGTGCCCTCTTCTTGCTTCTGTGGGCACCAGGAACACCCTTGGTACATAGATATACATGTAGGTAAAATACTCATATATATGAAATAAGAATTTAATGAGAATACAAACAAACAAAACCAAAGAGGACCAGAGAAAAGGAAGTAAGTTAGCTGTCTGGCTTTCAGGCCCCATCTTCCTTCTAAGCACAGGGTGAAGACCAGTGGCGGGGAGAGCCAAGACTAGCTGTACAAGACTGGGGCCTCACCAAACTCAGCAGAGAAGAGGTTCTGGGGCGTGGAGCCAGACTCTAGCAGCAGCTTCATCAGTTCCCTGAGTTCAGTGTGACTTTGTGAGCCAGGCAGCCCATGCATCTGTGCATACAGGTTGGCAGCTGCCAGTACATAGAGGAAATGCATGTCCTGCAGCCAGACAGAGAGCAGGGACATGGGAACATGAGAGGGGATGCATTGCCCTTTGACGGATCTGTTTGAATGCCTGCCTCTTTCAAGGACAGACGTTTGAATTTGCACAAGCATGGCTCTCTTTTCACATCTGTGCATCTTAGCAGACTGTAGAGGTGGTGTCTGCCCTTAGGATACTCAGGTCAGATGACTCTACTTACTTGGTTGGGGTCAAATTGCAAGGGATGTGGACAATTTTTGGATCCTGACCAGAACAGAGTTCCATCCTCAAGCACCTAAGGAAATAAAGGATGTTGAGCTGTCTGGTCTCCTGGAGCTGTCAGCTGCCCCGCCTCTGACTACCGACTTTATCAGATGGGAAGTGTCTCAGCAGCTCCACGATCCTATCACAGAAGCACAATTGCCAGTGGCCAAGAGCCCACACCACGCAGTCTCGCCAGGTCTGTGGGCGCGTTCTTAGGACACCCATCACTTGCTGCAGTAAGGCCAGTGTTCTTGTCCTATCCGTGCCCAACAGGGAAGTACATGTCCTGCAGAGAGAAGAGGAGGTCTGAGGCTGAGCTCTGTGCCTGGAGTCCTGGACTCCTACCTCTGTTGTTGGCCTTACTGTTGGTAGCAGTTGATGTTCTCTGCAGATAGTCGGAAGAGCCCCTCAAATTCATCCTGGACCCACTGTGGCGGGGGTGGAGGGTGGAAGGATGATAAAGTATTAGATGAGGGACAGAGCTGCAGTTAAGGCTTGAGATGGGGGGGTGTGATGTACTTACCTGCAGGCTATGCTCCACTGTGCTGGGGAAGTGCCGCAGGGTACACATGGGGTAGGGAGCATCATCACCCTCGGAAGCTGAGGCTGAGGCAGGACCCTTGTAGGATTCGGTCACATGTGGCACAAACACTGAAGCACTCCCCAGGGTCCCCTGGGTACCTGCCTCCAGCAGTGGTTTCAGATAGTGGGTGCATCGAGCAGCAACATAGTGCCCTGGCAAAGGGCAGAGGGTATGGAGTGAGGCTGCCAGAGGTTTGGGCAAGGGGCTCAGCTCTGAGTGAGGCACTCACGGGCCTGGAAGCTGTCCAAAGCAGCAACAACACCATCCACCCTGGAGAAGAAGCTGTCATCATAGATGTCCTCTGTGGTGGGATCCAGTGGGTAAGTATATGGAGTCACTTGTAGGTGTGGGTTTAGACGACGGGCTGCTGCTGAGGCCACCTCTGCCTTGGGCCTCTGGGAAGAGAGGAAAAGGGCGCGTTAGGAGAGAGCAACCTGAGCCCCAAGGATGCAAGAGGGGCCAGCACTCACCCCAACGTCCTTGGGCCTGAAGAGGAACTGCCTGCTGAGGTTGGAGCGTTCTATGTGGTCCATGTCAGCAACAGTCACCCCTCCATTAGCCCTAACTCCCAGGCCCACTAGGGCAAAGCCTTTGAGCATCTCACAGCCAATGGCACCAGCACCCACCTGTTGGCAGGAACAGTTTTAGCACATGGCATGGATTTCCCAAAGACATCCCCACTAGCATCCCTCAGCTCACCAAGAGGTAGTGTTGGTAGCTCAATTTCTCCTGAAGACCAGTCCCAAACACAGCGATTTGCCCATCGTATCTGCAGTTTCTCTAGGGAACACAGATAATGACCACTGATGGCTGACAGCCTGTGCCATGTGTTTAACCCAGAGTTTTTTAATCTGGACCCCAGTGGTGTTTTTCTGGGTTCCCCTCTAACTCTAATTTTGAACAAGGCTTTCACCCCCAGTTCTCACTGGATGACAGTCTTCAGGACTGGGAAGGAGCTTCTCATCTTCTGGAAGACATTCAAGGGCATCAAAGTACAGCCATTGGTCCAGGGGCATGAACTTCTTGGAGATAGCCTAGAGGTGGGTACATCACTCTGAGGGCCTCTGCCAACTTCTAATTCTTACTCCCCTTGGATCCCTTCTGAGGGATACAACTGGGTTGGTAACATGCTCCAGGGCTACTGCTGGGTATGGGTGCCCCCTGGTACATACACTGGCCTGCCCACTTTCCCAATCCCGCCCTTTCTTCACATGTGCCTACCTTCAGGACTTCCTGGGCAGCCACTCCTCCCAGAATGGCTGCCATGGGGCTTAAGCTACCAGCACTACTCAGGGCAATTGTCCGGAGTAGAGCCCCATCCAGTGACTCTTCTTTTGTCCCTTTTAGTGGCTCTAGGTCCTGGGCTAGCCTTACCACGGTCTCTGCATCATCCTGTGGGATGGCACTCAGGCATAGCATATGTGAGCCTAGTAGCCCCAGCTTGAATTCTAACCTCCCACTCAAAGCCTTCAGGCACCCATCTACCCTGTTCCACAGAAGCAGCAGATTCCTAAGTGGGAAAGCCTGGCATTGTTGCTAGGCTGGGAAGTGCTACCAAAGGATGTCCAGCACCAGCCAGAGGCACTGAAGGCATCCCCAAGTGAGCACAGCTTCCGACCTGCTTGTGATGGCTTAAGGATGGAGCAAGCAGGCATCTCCAGGCTGTAGGCCTGGTACTTCTATGGACACAGCCTCCAGTGGGGTGAGATCGGAAAGGTGAGACCCAGTGAAGCAGAGGCTGTGTATTATGCAATGTGGGGCCACTCACAGGATCCCAGGGTTTGGGTAGTCGGCCATGAAGTTGCTGGAACATGTGCAGTGCATGGAAGGCCTGATGTAGGCAGTGGGCACGTTGTACTTCCTGAGTATTCTGGGCCACCACGTGGGGCTGAAGCAGAGCTATGTCCAGGGGCTTCTGTAGGAGGGCGAGGTTGCTTGGCTCAGGGTCAGGTCTAGGACACTACACACCCCTTCATGTAGCCAGGTGCTCCCACCTCAGATGTACTTGTACTCACATGCCTCACAGTCTTGGGTCTCTTGACTTCAGTGACAACCCCGCCCCTCAAGTAACGGGAGAAAGTTGCTGTATCTCCAATCTCCAAGGACCCGTCTTCTGTGAGAGAGCCATGCTAGTAAATTATGACCCCCTAAATATAAGTTGTTTCCACATAGCTGAGGCAGTAGTTGGAGTAAGGTTGGCTTACTCTGCACCCGGACAGACTGTGGAGAATCACTGTTGAGTTCAACCATGCCTTCAATGTCTGAGAAAATCACCAAGTCCCCATCATAGAAGGAATGTCTTTTGGTGCCTCCTCTCAGGGTGACAATGCCAGGGGAGCCCTGAGTGAGAGGTGGCTTGTCTTCAGAGTGCCTGTACCTACCTCCCACAGGCCCCGGCACCTTTCTCTGGACATCAGGGAAACCTCGACATCTTAGCACCCACCTGAGAGATGTCCTGGATGGCAGCTGTCATAGGCTCTACCTCGGTAGGGTCCACAACAATAAAGTCCTCACCAAAGTCACAGAATAGCCGCCTAGTATGGTTGGTAGAAGTTACTAAGGAACCTCATCAGTTGTGAGTAGGGGACATTAGGATAGGCCCAGAGGGAAAACAATTATAGGAGAGACGTGGAGATTTTGATTTGGGAACATAGGGTGTCCTAGAGCAGGTCTGCATGTGGAGGTGGAGAAACGAGGGAAAGACTGTAGTCTAGAATAAAGAGGATCCGTGGTTTGAGGCTGAGTGGGAGAGGGGCAGGCTTAGGGCTGGGCAAAGCATTGGGACCAATTGTTGGCAGTGATGTGGTGGGGGTACACAGGTAGTCTCCTTACCCCACAAGGCCTCGGGTTTCAGCCATCAGGAAGTAGACTCCATGCTTGTGGCAAACGGTTCCCACCTTCAGCTGATCCTCTAGCTTGGAGTCAGTCAGCATCACTACCTAGATGGATACGGTGATCAGTAGGCCTAGAATCACTTGCCACCCTCTCTGCCATTAAGGGCAGAAGGGAGCTACTGGGCTAACATGCAAAGTAGGGTAAACACCTGAAAGCCCTGAAGTAGGTCTTCAGTGATGTCACCTTCGTGGACAGAGATCTGGACAGCTTCATTGAGCTGAGCCAATTGTGCTTGAGAGGCCTCAGCCCTGCTCCTTCCCAAGCTCTCTTCTGAGAGGAAAAACTAAGGACAGTTCAGTGCAGCTTGATCAAAGAGACTCCCCTTTAGCCCCTGCTCTGGGAGGCAGCATAGAGACCCCAAGAACTCTTACCTGAGCAGCCAAGTCAGCCCAGCAGGTAGGATGGGGATCATACAAGGTGAGGCTGCCCACACCCATAAGGACCAGGTTCTTGGCCACCTCGGCTCCCAGGCCCTGTAGGCCACATAGCAAGACTTTGGCTTCCTGGATCTTCTTCATAGCACTAAGGCCCAGTACATACCTGTGGTTAAGAAGAAGGAGGTGGCAGCTGGGACCAAAAGTCTGGAAGCCATCAACTTTGTTCTCCCACCTTGAGACTCACAGCTGCCTTGAGTATAGCTCCTTATCCATCCTCAGTCGTTGGGCTGGAGAGGAAGCTGCAACGCTCACACAAGGGAAGGAAAACAAGGCTTGGAGCTGATGCAAACAGGCACCAGAACTCTGGTTGTTGCTGGTTACAGCTCTCTGTCTGGCTCCTCTGTAATTTCAGGAAACCAAAAGTGAAACTAGACTGAGTTGGTTCCTGGTCATCTCAATGAACGAGGACAGTATGCCAGCCCTCTGCAGGCCAACTGGGGTTTATCGCCCTGGATAAGTTCCAGTGTTACGAGAGGCCAGTGACTCTCTGAGTCAGACCTGAGAAATAAGAAGCTCACGGTAGCCACAAAATGAAGACATGTGTCTTATATATTTTTTAAACTTCTGTTTTGAAGTAACTGTAGACTCACAATAAGTTGTGAGAGTAAATAGCACATGGTGTTGCCGTATACCGTTCGTATTTATGTATGTGTTTTCCATCAGCATATATTAATTATACATAATAATGTGCTCCATTATGGCACTTCCATACGTGTACATTTTGATCATATTCACCCATCAGCTTCTCTCTCCCCCTCCCACTCTTGTTGTTTCTCTTGGCGACTCAGTGAGTTTTGTAGAAGTTTCATACAGGAGGGTGGGTGGGAGGTTATATATGAACACCATGGGCACCTTACCAATGGCTATAGAACTAAAGATAATGTCTCGCCCTCCTGGAGGGGTAAGGCCTCCTAAGTTCCCTGCTCCTCCTATGATTGGATGCTCACAAGCCCAATTTTGTAAAGATCTTGTACAGGTCACAACTGCTGTGTGTTCAAGAGTACTACAGCCATGTGTGGCGGGAAGATCTCGCTCTGCAAAGACTCAATCTTCCGTTTCTAACGCTATTGCCTCCTGTTTTCCTCGACGTTCCCTGAGCCTTGGATAGGGCTGACAGAGATGCTTCTTTTAGGGCTGAACATTCAAGTCACTTCTCTACACACTGACCAGTTATGAGTCCCTCCAGGCACCACTACCCACTACAAAAAGAAGCTTCTCTGATTGAAGCCGACAGTGGCCCTGCTCTATGATCCTTAACGTGACTATTGAAAGGCAGTGAAATGGGTGCATCATGTTTATTTTATATCTGTTGCTCTCCCATGAGGTCCTATGATCAAACCATTGGGTTTGATTAGGTTTATAATACCAGACAGGAATTCCCTCCTGTGGAGTGGGCTCAGTTCCAATAAGAAAGTGGTTAGCTGCAACAACAGGGTGGAAGGCACCAGTAACACTATCTTGCTATTGTTTGTTTTTGTTTTTTTCCAGACAAGGTTTCTCTGTGTAAACCAAGCTGGCCTCAAACTCAGACATTCCCCTGCCTTTGCCTCTGAGTGCTGGGATTAAAGGCACTTGGCATCACCAGCCAGCTGAGTTATTCTTTTTCTTTGTTTTGTCTTTTTAAAAGTCTTAACACACAGCTCTGGCTCTGGCCTGGAACTTGCTATGCAGATCGGGCTGAAATCATAGACAGCTGTTTGTGTTTCCTGAGTGTCAGTGAGTCACTACTCCCAGCCTTGATGTTTTTATTTTTTGTGATTACAGCAAGCATGTGGAACTAACCTGTGATGTTAGTTTTTTCCTTCTCCCACTTAGGTACATGGAACTGAACACAGATCACCAGATTTAGCAATGAGTAACTCACCACACTGTCTCACTGGCCCTACTGTTGTTGATCTTTTTTTAATGTTATGTGCATGACTGTTTTGCCTGCATGTATGTGTACCACATGTGCATGGTCCTGTGGAAGCCAAAGGGTGTAGAATCATCTGGAACTGGAGTTGCAGACAGTTGTGAGCTGCCATGAGAGTTCTGGAAATGGAGCTCAGGCCCTCTGGGGGAGCAGCAAGTGCTCGTAACCACTTGAACTCTCTCCCCAGTCCCTGTTTTTGCTTTTTGGGGACAGGGTCTCACATAGTCCAGGTTGGGTTGCTATAGTCAAGGATGACTTTAGCCGGGCGGTCGTGGCCTGTCGTGGCACTCGCCTTTAATCCCAGCACTTGGGAGGCAGAGGGAGGCGGATTTCTGAGTTCAAGAGTTCGAGGCCAGCCTGGTCTACTGAGTGAGTTCCAGGACAGCCAGGGCTACACAGAGAAACCCTGTCTCAAACAAACAAACAAACAAACAAACAAACAAAAGAAACCTTCTGTTGTTGTTCGTTTTTGTTTTAGGGAGGGAATCTCATGTAATCTCATGTAATCCAGGCTGACCTAGAACTCATTATGTAACTGACAATAACTTCCATCTCTCTACTAATGTGAATACAAATGTATTACATTGGCTTGATGTTGGAGTTTGGATCCAGGCTTGCCACATGAGTCTTGCTCTTTTTATAACAACTTATCTTCAAGGGAACCCTTGGACTATGTTCATCCCCTCTGGGAGGCAGTCCCCGTGACCACATCCATCCCTCTGGGAGGCAGTCTTCCAGTGACCATGTTCATCCCACTGGAGGTAGTCCCTCCTGTGACCTGATGTTATTCAGCTTTCTGCCACTATGATGAAATACCTGAGACAAAAATGGAAACGTTCACGTCTAAAATCTGTGAAGTCACTGGGTGTTGTGGTGCATGCATTTGAGAGGCAGAGGCAGGTGGGTCTCTGGGGGTTCCAGGCCAGCCAGAGCTTCACAATGAGTTCACCTCAACTTCCTCCTACCCATTACACACACACTCCAAAACCAAGCAAAAAAATACTAGGCTTTCTGATATACAAACACATCTTTCTGTGTACCTTTATGGGTCATACTTTTAATCAGGGGGAAGGGACAACCATATTTCTAAATCCCTCTTATCACAGAAACTGTCAGCAGTAGGCAGTAACTCCAATCCCCACTCCTAGCCACTATTATGTTTGCCTCTTCAGGTTTACCTGTTCTAGACACTAAAAGTGGAATCAGAGACCCACTGTCTAACTCGCTTGCTTCATTTCTGTGTCTTGGGTTTCTCACCTACAGCCTGGCTTACAGATTCCTACCACTGGTGGTTGCTGCTGTCGTCCACTGTACAGATAATACTGAGGATAATTCACCTAAGCCCACCTTGCATGTGCTACCAGCCAGCCTCTATGTTTCCAACCAGATGGTGCAACTCCCCTCACTAAACCTCTTTGGCTCCTGTCATACCCAAATGAGTTCAACACCCTAACTGTCTAAGTTACTCTCTTGTTGCTGTGATAAAAATACTCTGCCAAAGCAACTTAGGGGAGAAAGCTTTTACTTTAGCTTCAAGTTTCACGTTACCGGCTCATTGCAGGGAAGTCTAGGCAGAGGGTGGAGTAGCGGGACACATTCAGGAGCAGACAGAGTGCATGCGTTCTTGTGCTCAGCTCACTTTGCTCTTTAAACAACTCAGGATGCTCCACCTAGGGAAGGAATGGTGCCAACTTATAGTAGGCACAATCAAGATAACCTTCCACAGACATGCCCACAGGCCAACCTAATCTAGACCTCACCGAGGAGCCCTTTTCCACGTGACTCTAGATCCTATCGAGCTGTCAATCAAAGCTAAGCATCACACAACGAAGGCTAACATCTCCATCCTGATAGCTTCAGCTCCTCTCCATTTCCTGGCAAGTGGCTGGATGCCTTCAGCACGAGGCAGGTGGTGTGAGAAGGAAACCGGTGAGCTCCTGTCCACTAATGGGAGAGAGAAGCTTAGGCCGTCTTATCCAGGTGAGTGGCCAACAGGGATATTCTCTAGAAGAAAGTCCTGAACCCAAGTCCTAGAGGCTAACAGCTGCTCAGTGGTTATCTGTTGTGCCTGCTGAAACTCACTGGGCCCACTCACCCACTTTGTTTACAGTTTATACTGCAGAGACGCCATTCTTGCTAGTCTTCCAGTGCCCTGTGAGACAGCCATGCCTGGAGATAAAACTACTAGGTCTAAGAATAGAAATTTTCTAAGGTTTTGGTACAAATTTATACAGCCAGAACCTAGAAGAAAAGATGTCTTTTTATTTTACACAGAAACCTTCCCAATCCTTCCCATCCCCCAAAACCCCCCTTTCAAGCAATAAGCTGGAGGCAGGCAGAAGTTCAAGTTAGCCTGCTTAGGAATCCCCCAGTACTTTCATCCACTTAGAGTCAATGTGACCCTGTTCTATAAAACAGAAGGAGGACGGCCACACCTGGTTGTAGCTCTAAGCAAAACCCTTCAGCTAGAAGCAGGATCTGCTGATCCCAACTGTAAACTGGTCACGTCACTTCCCAGTGTGGTGCAGGGTGCAGTGAACACAGGAAGTGCATTTTCTGGACATCTCTCTTGGACTGATGCAAGAGGAGCCATCTTCCGAAAACACTTCCAGCTGGCCAGGTGTTGGCCTATTAATTGAAGACATGACTCTGGTCACTGTTCACTGACATAAGAAGGTATCCAGCTTGGGCTGGGAGGCAGAATTCACAGTCTTTATTCTCACTTTCTGTTTACTCTTGGCCTTGGTCTTAACAGGCATTGGTCGGATAATGGCTGTGTCCATCTGGAAGCAACGTCAAGGAAGAAGCTTGGAGAATGGTCTGGAATACAGGGCAGGAAAGCTCAGCCCATCTTAGGCTGAAGGCACTCGAAGTAAGAAACTTGGGGATACAGATCAGGGCACGGTGTATGCCCCTAAGGTCAGCTCAGGCCATGACCATAGAAAAAGGATACAGGCTGTATAAATTTTGTTCGTCCTCCAAGCCCGTCAAAGCCTATTCTTACCTAGGGAGAGGAAAGAGATGAGTGGGTTAGAGTAAAGGACTGGGAGCTGACTCCTTGCCCCACCCTAAAGGCTGGCCACCTCCACTTACCACATCTGTGCTGCAACGGGACTCTGCTGTGGTCCTGTTGGGCTGTTTCTGACCCCTGATAGCATTCCGGATGAAAAGCGGGAAGGCATCTGCCAGTTCCTCATCTGGCTCTCCTACACATCGCTGGCCACCCAGTGAGAGCTGGGACTCCTGTTGGAGTAATGCCAAAGTCAGACTTGACAAGCCAGACAGCAGCACATGACACGCATGGAGCAGTGAGGGGGAAAGAACAAGAGACAGGGGACAATGAGCCAGGGCCCAAGGATGGCTCTGAAGAGTCTTAGTCCTGGGCCCGGGGAGGGACTTGAACACAGTCTGCACTCTCACAAGTAGAGTTTCT